CCATATTCAACTTTATGAAAGGATGATTAGGTGGAGTCCATGTTGCTATTGTTACTTTAGGCAGCCTATTGCAATACAATTCAAGTTTAGTAATTGTACATCGTATCAAGCTACCCTCATAATTAAAATTCCATTTCTTTGTTAAGAATACAACATTATACCTTCACTTCCAAAGGCACCATAGAATGGACAGAATGTGAGAGTAAGGTTCATAAGTAATAACTCCAACTATCTAGAGCTGGATATTTTGGCATGTCATTTTGTTAGATGAAGTAACCCCCATGCAAAGCCAAACCTCTTTGAAATTTGGACAGTCCCTTAAAGCATGTAGAATAGTTTCCTCCATTACAAAACATCTAGTATACATTGCACTAGTGGAAAGATGGCTAGCATAACGTTTGTTATTAATAGGCAAGACAACACGAAATATTTGCCAGAAGAAGAAATGAATCTTCTCAAGAGTGGTAATTCTCCAAATTCTCTTCCAAACATGATTGGAAAAGGGAGGGTGGTTAAGATACTAGGCATATACTGAATATGTTGTGTAAGTCCCATGATTATTACTCAACCAAGCAAGAACATCAACATCAGTGGGAGTAGAAGGAATAGGTACTTCAAGAATAAAATTTACTACACTCGAAGAAAGGGGTGTGTATAACCCTTGCAAATTCCAATTCCCATTATTCCATAAATTTGCTACAGTAAGGTGAGAATCATGGATGTGGACAAAAAGAACCTCTTGGCATAATGGGCACGTTCCTAACTTGTTAGAAAACTAAAGACTAAAGAGACCTCCACCAAGACGTGGTCCAAACCTTTTTTGGAGGGCAGTCACAGCTTTGGCAATACTCTTCCTAACATAAGAATTGCCCTGAGGAATAGTAGGTTGAAGGATGAAGTCACTATGAATATATTTGTGAGAAAGAACTTGAACCCAAGGTTTATCCAAGTGGTAAAGAAAGTCCCATATTAACTTTCCGAGCAAAGAGATGTTAGCCAACCGAGTATCTCGCATGCTTAAACCCCCAACAATTTTTGGTTTAGTAACATCACTCTAACTAACCAAATTCCAAGACCGAGAAGATGCATTTTTAGACCAAAGCACGGATCTACGCAACTAGTCCACAACTTGACAAATACTTGTGGTATTCACATAGATTGCATAGTATATATGGGTATAGAGGCAATGATAGATTTAGCAAGACAAAGACGGCTTGTTCCATTTAAGGGATTATTCTTCCATGAGGAAAAATGTCCCTAAACTTTATCAATTATATGTTGAAGGTTTGCTTTCATCACATGTCCAATCAGTAAGTGATAACCAAGATAGTTGCCAATATTTGTGGCGTATCTTATGCCAAGGATACCAGCTAAGTCATCTTAGCAAAGCTCGAAACTCCTTTAGAACAAGTGAAGCGAGACTTGGATAAATTAACTTAAAGTCTTGAGTCTGCACAAAACAAATCCAAAGTGGAGAGTCCACCTGCATTTAAGCTCATATAGCTTTATAGAATAATAACAAATCATCAACAAATAAGAGATGTGACAGGGTTGGACAACCCCTAGAGGTAGATATGGGTTTCCATTTATTACTTATAATTATTTGATTAATCATGAGGACTAATTTTTCCATACAAAGCACAAAGAGATAAGGTGAGAGTGGATCTCCTTGTCGTAGTTGTCAAGAATGTAGAAAAGGATCTAGTTTGGAACCATTCCAAAGGATAGAAAGACTAGACCCACAAACTCCCCACATAATAAGATTAACAATGTGTCCTAAAAATCCAAACTCCAACAAAGTTCTTTGTAGGAAGTCCTAGTTGACCCTATCATAGGTTTTCTCAAGGTCCATTTTAATTGCAACCAATCATTCTTTGTTCTTAACCTTATGAATATGATGTAAGGCCTCTTGGGCAAGGATAACATTATCCTTAGTCCCTTTCCCGAGATAAAACTACCTTGAAAGGGACCAATAAGGGTATGCCAAAATGGTTGGATCCGATTCACCAGCACTTTTGTAATCACCTTGTAAGTCATATTACAAACGTTAATGGGACGAAATTCCTTCAAAGTGGTAGGATGGCCCACCTTGGGGATGAGAATAATAAGTGTCTCCAAAAGTTTGGGATCAACTGCACCAATATTAAAAGCCTCTTTGACCATAAGCCATATATCATTCCCCAAAAAATGCCAGTATTATTTAAAAAAGAAAGGTTGAAACCCATCAAGGCCTGGAGCCTTAAAGGATTTCATCCCTATAACTTCACTTTGAACTTCCTCTAAGGAAATTGGTGCTAAAGTATGTCTTTGGTATCAAAACTCAAACAAGGCATATAATCAACTTGTAGGGAATTGCTACTAATTGGAGTATCAAATATAAAGAGATTCTGATAGTACCTCATTGTCTATGTGCATAGTATATTTGGGTCAGTACACCAAGAACCATCATCCAAAAATAAACCATTCATTTTATTTCTTTTCCAACCTATATGAGAGTTTGTGTTTGGAAAAAGGATGTATTTTGATCTCCAAAACTAACCCATTTCTCCCATGACTTTTGGAACAAAAAAAAGTTGGTTATTGAAAATATGTCAAACAAGTTAATTGAAAAAATTAGAAACTTTCTTTTGAATAAGATTACCTTTTTCCATAGCCTATGTGTGAATGTACGACAATGTACATGGATGTACATGAGTTGTCCCTTTAATAGAAAATGATATCATTTATTCTTTTTATGAATTGTAATGTACTCAATATTCCTAAGATCACCTCATGTACAATAAGTATTTTTTTAGTTTGTAAATTGTTATCATAACTATTTTAGTTTGTTAAAATATAAGCCACTTATTAATTACAATATACCAAATTAGATATAGAAAATATTTAAAATATTTCTTTAATACAATTATCCTTTTTCATTATAGATTAGGGTTACAGTCTATGCATAAGTGTAAATCAACATACATGATTCCACAAAAATTATTCTTTTAATAGAAAATGATTCACTTTTTTGTGACATTGTATATATTTCAAAATTTAAATTTTAATAACATTGAGTAAATTATATTTTATCACACAAACTAAAAAATAATATGTAGTGACGTATTTAAAAATAATTTTGTTGATTTTTAAAAAAATTAAGTTTATTAGTCTATTTAACATTATTAATGTAAAGTAGACTTTTAAATGGGTTAATAGGCCAAGTTAGGATGTCAGACTTTAAAAAGGTCAAACTAGGTCAGACCTATAAAAAAAGTTTATAATAGATAATAGATAAGGTTTATGCTTTAATTTTGCAGAACAATCTTAGTTTATATATTCAAAATCTAGTCTGTCCTGACTTATTTCCACCCCAAACTATATATAACCTAACTTATTTTTTATATTTCTCATACAAATATTTGAAATAAAAGATAAATTAAAAAAAATGACAATTTTGTAATAAAAAAATAAAATAATACCAAATAATTAGGACAAAACTAAATGGTCACATATAGGGGCCGAGCTAAGTTGGGGGATGAAGTGGATAATACATGCTCTAATTGGATTGGTTTGATTCAAATTCAAATTTTTTTTTTGGCCAATTTAAACTAATTATTATCTTTTTAAGTATATACTTTTTTATCCATTTATTGTCTATTTTATATAAAAACTTAAATATGTTTGAATTCTTTTATAAATATGATTTTATTTTGTTTTAATTTTGCAAAATTAATTTGTTATTTTTAGATTTTTAATATTTTTTAACATTAAACCTTTAAAAAAGATTATTCCTGTATTCGATGAGGAATACTTCTTGATAATCAAATAAATTATAATTAGTTAGTGTTGATATAACTAATAAATTAAAATAATAAGAAATATTTTTTACTAAGATGAGATTAGATTATTTTTAAATAAATAACTTAATTAAACAGTGTATTTCTGATAATAGTTTTTAATATATTTAACTTCATTTTTCTAACAATAATTAGTCATAAAAAAAATATACAATGGAGATTTATTTTTCCATTTTAATAATGAGTAATACAATGAGGAATATAATGGAAAAACTGGACTCATAAATTCCCAGTTGCAGTCTTAGCAAGCACATGTGCTGCATTATTAACTTTCCTAGGAACATATTTTAAAAGTAAACCATCTTATTGATCTAAGAGTAGTTGCTTGATATGGTGAGTAATGATACCCCTCTTTTAGAGTGTTGAGAACCATGATGCTGCATCTAAAGCATGGCTTGTAGTAATTCAAAAGTCCCACCCTCCAGTAGTTTGAAAAGAGTGGAAGACCATTATGTTCTTGCAACTATAAAAAAAAAGGTTTGAGTGAAACCTGAGGCATTTTGAGCTTTAAAAGGTGCAACATCAGTGTTGTGTTGCATTGTTTTTACCAAACTCTTGATTTTTTAGGGGTACTTTTGTTTTTATTTGAAAAAAAAAATCATTTTTTTATTCATATTATTTATGAGTATTATTATTTAATTTTTTAAGTTTAAAATATTTAAAACATGAATTAATTTAGCCGTTGAATGATTAAATAGTAGAAATAAACTTTTTTTATTTTCTATAATGATAAAACTCGCTTAAAAAAATCTTAATCAACTCCTATAATATTAATCCTAAACAATTATTTTACTTAAAGTATTCTTAAAAACTATTATTTGATAAATATTTTTTAATTTTTTTAATCTAATTTAAATTTTATTTGTTAGATTTTTTGTAAATTAAAATTTGATATTTAAAATAAATTATGAGTAATTAATAATAATCAAATGTCATAATATAAATTATTTAACTTAAATTTAAAATATAATTTATATATAAAAAATATCTATTTATACACATTTAAATATAATTTATATATATTTAAACATAACACGTCTCTGTATATAAAATTTATTATAAATTCACAAATAAATTACTAGTTTATTTTATTTTATTATTTTTATAAATCTTAGTTTTTTCATTTCTCTCACACAAGTAATACAGTGATTAATATAGGGCAATAGGAAATACTGAAATAGGCGCTGAGAAGCGAAGCAAAGCAATTGGCGTTTCTCAGAAACCCTAATCACTCACTAAAACCGCCCTTTTTCTTTGTGCTTCGAAAACCCTAACTCGATGGGGGGAAAGAGGAAGAAGAGCGATGGCGATGACGTGGAAGAAGCCGAAGAAGGTTCAAAGAAGAAAACAAGAACGTCGGCGGAGAAGAAGGAGCAATTGCTCCCTTCCATGATAAAGAACAAGGACAAGAGATCGGAGGTGCACGCCAAGCTCAAGCGCCAGAAGAAGCTCGACAAGCGCGCCAAGGCCAAGGCCAGGGACGCCGCTGCCAAGCGAGCTCTCGACCTCGGCGAGGAGGTTCTCCATTCTCCCAATCCCATCCCTTCTCTTTTCTTCTTTCGTCTTTAATTTGTTTCCGTCATTTTATTTTATTTGCTTCTCCGCAGCCTCCGGAGAAGAAGGTTCCTCGCACAATCGAGAACACCAGGGAATTCGACGAGACTGTTTGCAGGCCTGATGACGAAGAGGTTTGTGTTGCTTTCTCATTGCGAAAATTGTGATGTTATCCTTAATTTTAATGTCATATTATATTATATTAGAATAATTGGTGCTAATTCTGCCTGGATGATGCTAATTGATTGCTCCAATTTTAATTCGAACTGATTAATCTGGTTTTGTTAGTTGGCTGGTAACAGGAGTTGGATTTGTGTAGGAAACTTGTTTTTGATTAGGGGCTTTGGTTTTTGCTATTTTGAATTTGCAGTAGCGTTGCTGTTATTCAAACATTTTTTTTTTAAATTACTTATGTTGACTAGTGAATTATACTTGTTTGCAGTTATTTGCCGGAAACGATGCTGATGAATTCAGTTCAATTTTAAATCAGCAACAAACTCCCAAGATACTAATCACCACTTGCCGCTTCAACTCTACAGTATGTTTTCAATATGCGATTGTTTGTAATCCCTGTCTAGTCTGGCATAAGTACTTTTTGAAGCAATAATTTTTTCCTCCTTAGTTTATTTTTTATATTTTAGGTTCACACTTATAGGAGCAGAACATTGTCAAGGAAATTTTGTCTTCTATATTGTATAACATGTTTTCCAACTTTTGGTTAAAATATGGCTTGAACTGCAGAGGGGACCTGCTTTTATATCAGAGTTGCTTTCGGTTATACCAAATGCACACTACTACAAGAGAGGAACATATGATCTGAAAAAGGTGCTGTGTATCTCACTGTCTCTCCCCCCTTGTGAGGGTAAAACATAGGACATTAGAACTAGTTTGGGCCTTTTTTTCTAATTCCACTTTGGATTGCAGATTGTTGAATATGCTAAGAATAAGCACTTCACTTCTGTTATAGTTGTTCACACCAATCGTAGGGAACCAGGTAAGTGGAGCTTTCTCAGGAAGACACAATCTATACAGATTTTATATATTTAAAGATTGTTTTTGATAGTTCATGCCCTTTTCCTTTAGATTTCAAGGCAAAATGTTCCTACAAGTATTTAATTCTTTGCTCCTATGTATTGCAGATGCTCTTTTAGTCATTGGCATACCTAATGGGCCTACTGCTCATTTTAAGCTCTCCAAGCTTGTTTTGCGCAAGGATATCAAGGTTTCATGTTAATAAATATAATAGTATAATACATAGTATCCAGTCTTCTGATTGATGTTGGTATGCGTTAATCTGCTTAATTTAAATTTTGGAGTAAATAAACAAATATAATTTTTTTGAAATCTTAGAAAGAAGAGGAAAGGAAATATGTTGTGACAAACTAATTGTTAAGTTTACGTTGAAACTTAATTTTTTGTCCCTTTCATTTTTTGCTTCACTATAAAGAATACGTTCTTAAAGGTCTTGCAACATGTGTTACCAATATCACATGAAATCTATTGGTAGTTGATTTTATTTATGTGACTGTCTTGAGATTAAGCATGTAACAAAAAAAAAGATTTAATTTTTATTGCATGCATTTTTTGCCCCTTGCAGAATCATGGAACTCCAACGAGTCACAAACCTGAGCTTGTATTGAATAACTTCACAACACGTCTAGGGCATCGAGTTGGAAGGTGACCATTTTCTCTGATTCTATGTTTTTTTAACATTTATATTTTACTTGTAATGCCTTTTTCTTATAATACTTTTGTTGTATTTAAGTGCAAGGTCTGATTGAAATACTTTTTGTAGTTTATAGTTATTTTTATTCAAGTATCATGAAATAAAAATGTAAAATGAATCCAAGTCTTTTCTATTTTAATAATATCATTTTTCATCAACAAATATCTCATCTGTTTCCTGTTTCTTTATAATAATGATTAGTATAAGCATTGAACTGAACTCTCGCTATTTGTTGAGTTTTTTTAATAGGTTGATACAGTCACTTTTTCCACAAGATCCAGAACATAAAGGCCGACGAGTAGTCACCTTCCACAACCAGAGAGACTTCATATTCTTCCGGCATCATCGGTATATATATTCATAAAGCATACAATATTGTCATTTGTTTCAAAATATTAATGATTTCATTTCCTGACATTTTGTTATGTTCAACCACATACATTTAAGGTACATTTTTGAAACCAAAGAAGTTAAAAAGGCCGAGTCAAAAAGTAAAAAGGACAAAGATGGCAAGAGTGAGAATGTTCCTGAACAGAAAACAATTGCCCGTCTTCAGGTTGGTGTTGGGTTTTTTTTATTTGCTTTTCATTTACCAGCATTTAAAAACTCGATGGCTGTTGGCTACTGAATGTAAATCTCTGTATCACATATAGTTGTTATTTATGCTTTTCACTGCTCTGTTATGCTTGTCTTGTGTGTCAAAATAAGTGAAAATATTGGTATAGTACGAGAAGTGATGTGTAAGTATTAGATAATAGAACTGGTGGTTCAGATTGTTGACTTCGGTGATTTAGCATATTTTGATCAGTAGGTATTATGGAAGAGAATATTTGAAGATCGAGTGATGCTTTGTTATTTCATGTCAGTTCTTTAATCTGTATTCACATGTAGACTCTAAAAAGTTAATCATGAGTGATTATAACAGACTAAAAGTTGTCTACATGAGAAAATATGGATGCTTACATTCGAGATGGGTGACGTGTCTATTCTCTATTTGCATTTACATTCATGATGTCTATTGTTTCTGATATTGTCAAGGATTTAAGTATTCTTCAAGCTTGATTTGTTCAAGTTTAGCACCAGCTTTATTTTTTCAGTTTGTCTTGTTAACGATCTCCAAACTTGCTTTTGTTACAACCTCACTTAAATGCAGGAATGTGGCCCTCGTTTCACGCTAAAGTTGATTAGCCTGCAGCATGGGACATTTGATACTAAGGGTGGGGAATATGAATGGGTTCACAAGGTAATTTATATGCGAACCAACTCACTCTTTAATTTCGTGGTCTGACTTTGCTTACCTATTTACCTAACTTTGCCTATTATTTTATTTTCTTAGCCGGAAATGGACACAAGCCGAAGGAGGTTTTTCCTATGACTTTGGGAACGTTGCATGTTGGATATCATTTTTGCGGCTTTAGTTATCTTGAGGTTGTTGTAATATTTCAACCTGTTTATTACTCAATTCTGGTGTATCATTTATTTTATTTTATTTGGGTCAAAGTCCTATCATCTCTGTAAGCCAGTGAGCAATTTTGACCTTACATCTATTGGTGGTTGAGGATAGAGAAAAAATATGCAGGTTTCTTGAAAGCAATACAATATTTAAATTTGAGATGGTATGCTTCTATAACGGTCTTTCATGTGACGAGTGAATGTGCTGAGGCTAACAAGTCATAGCATCATTTTATCTCTATTAGCATGTGATGAAGTGGATGTGCTGAGGCTACTAAGTCATAGATATGAGTTCACGTGGCCATTGGCGATCCTTAACTTGGATGTAGTTGTATAATTAGGATCGCCTGTAACTTATTTCCACGTGTCACGTACAGGCCTGTTTGACTGCCGCCCAAAGAAAATTTCTGGTTGGATGGATTCACGGGAACGGAATTATAAATGGTCACCACTCACTTATGGCTTCCGATAATCATTACCGTATCTTTTATTTATTTTTAATTCATAATTGTGTCAATGTGAGGGTTAGCATTTAGTAACATAATTCCTAATATACTTGTGACACTTTTTTACTAATTAAATTATATTTATGATCATAAAATTTTATGTGTGATTTATTTATGAGTTACTATTGATACACCGTCAGTGTGTAAAACTTTATACTAGTAATTAATAATATTTTTTAAAGTTATTTATTTTATTATTATTTTATTAAATAAGCAATTGATATGATATTAAAAGATATGATTGGTTGTTAGTGTAAAAAAAATTTATACTAGCAATGTATAGTTGATTAACTCTTTATTTATTAAGTAAATATTAATAAAATTTTAAAATTTTTAATTAATTTTAATTATTAATGTGTTGAAGAGAATTTGACAAGTTATTTTGATTTTAAAAAAAATTATAGCGGGAAAAATTACTTGTAAATAGTGAAGGATAGTTTTTACGTGGTATATATCATCGTGCGCTCTCAATGTTGTGCTAGTGTAATTGACTTAATCCACCTTGAAGAAAGGTTGAATTTCACACTCAATGTCTATAATCTTGGTTATTTTATTTTAAAATAAAGATATTTAATTTTTTTAATTTAAAAAATGTGAAAATTTGATTTTTTAATTAAATTGTCATTTATTAATTATTAAATTTTAGTATTTATTTATATTTAAATTTAAATGATGTGGCATTTAGTAATGTAACATTTGAAGATAAATTTTTTTTAAAAAAAACATGAAAATAATATTTTTTAATAAATAAGTATGAATTACTCGTTAAAATATATACAAATAAGTTTTTGCTTGTTATCTTTTAGCTAAATTATACTTTTAGTCTTTTATTGTAACGACCTACCTCGATTGTTACACTGCGAGACAACACAACAAACTATTGAAATATATACTAAAATAATATAATAAGAATATTTAGAACACAAGTTGTTAAGCAAGCAACCAAAATTTTTTTTAATTATATACAATAAAATATGCTACTATAAGGTAACTTACAAAAGGAACATCCATTCCAGGCACCTTCTGTGGTCTCTAGCAACTATCTCCTAGCCTATCTATGTCATGCTCTCATACATCGTATGATCATCGCAGTTCAAACCACATGGAAACATGTAAGGGTAAACTAGTGAAAATAAACAACACATATATAGGAAAGCAACTTACAACACTAGCAACTTAACATCACTGTGAACAATAATAGTTTATTCATCATGCAAAACACATCTCAACAACACATTTACAACTCATCAACACATACAACTTATCAACACATATGTGTCGTCACGAATTTCAACTCGAAGATCTCTTACACCACAAGGTGAGCAGTTTAAGTCATTAACTCCTACAAAACCGACAATACAAATTTTTTTTGGGCTTGCTAGGTAAATAACAAATTTCGATAAAAAGTCACAACATGATAACGATTTCTCAGACTTTGACATTTAAATAAGGAAGTATAGTACTATGTCATGATAGGACAGTTGGATTTAGGCCTACCACGACATTATCTAGCTCAACTAAGCCACATATGGGATTAACTTACTGACTATCCTCCAAATACTACAACCCTCCGATACTCGGTTAGGAACTAAGTTCCCAACTTCATACTTTACTCAAATTAACCGCTTATAATTGGTATAGCTCGACCTGACCCCTATACCGTGGTCGCTTCATTCATGTGTGCCTTGACCTTGCCCACACATGGGACCAACTAAGTCCTAGAAGAGAACAACATATCATCCACTCCAATGGACAACTTTTCAAGGAGGGTTTTTCAACAAATTGGGCTCTTAGAGCACCACAACACTCTCAATCCACACAATGTGATGAGCAACTTCGAAAATATCTCTCCTAGTCATAGTGATCAACAACTCATCATCACAACACAACAACACAGTTATCATCTCATCAGCTCAACTATCAACTCATTTCAACTTTAAACAACACAGTTATCATCTCATCAACTTAACTATCAACTCATTTCAACTTTAAACAACACAGTCAACTCTCAACTTATAGCTCAACCATCACTAAGTAACATTTTTTCAACACATAATACAACATACAACTTTATAACAACATACAACTCTCATCTAACAACTTAGTAACACAGTCTACTAACAAATTTTGGATCATCTCAACACATCTACACACTTCACATCATGTTTCTTACAACTCACGACATTATCATCATGCACTTCACAACTTTCAACTAGATCATCTCATCATATTTCACAACATATAAACAGTCAACACATAATATAAAGCAACTTTAACAACATACCACATATTCAACACATTTTTATTTAACACAACAACTCACTCAACGTATAACTCTTCAACTCATTTAGCACCTCTACACAACTACATAACTTCATAACTCAACTACAACATACATCTCACATCTCACTACTAAGTATCCTCATCATGCTACACAACATCATCTTTCAACACAGAACACATCAACCCATGTTATGCAATCATCTCTAACCACTTACAACATTCACAACACATAATAGCTACTCATACATCTCGTTTACATCCCATCTTCATCACAAAAGCATCACCAACAACATCATTATTCAATATTTTATCATCTATTATCAATACAAAACATTTTCATCACATAATACAACTCTTACTACGTGTTTACAACCCATCTATCATGCCAACTTACACACACAAGCAACATAAATCAACCTAAAAACTCAAAAACAACTTTCAACTTAACAAAATCACTTATTGTGAAATGGAAGCCTTCACATAAAACAAAATATATGAAGTTATACTACTCCTATCATGCTCTTACTTATCTCATATGAAAGATAAGAATATTTCCTACAACTCTCATGAAGACATCAAGTCCTAATTCTATCATCTACCTTGTTAAAAATTCTAAAAACCGCAACACTTAGCCTAAATCTTGGCAGCTTGACCTTTACTCACTAAAAAGGCCATAACTGGAGTCCTAGACCTCCTTTTTGGATGATTCCAGCATCATTGGAAATCTAACATCTAAGGATACAACTTTCAAGAAGACCTCAAGACCAAATTCTGTTATCTACCCTCACCATTGTAACGCTCAAATCAGAGCTTTAGCGTTGGATTTCTGTCAGCTCAGTCTACTCCCCATGACTACAACCATGAACCACGACTACAACAGTGGATCTTTGCCACTCTTTTTCCATGGCTACGACCATGAACCATGGCTACAACGGTGAATCTATGCCATTCTCTCTTTTTCCATGGCTGCAGCCATGAACCATGGCTACAGCGATAGATCTCTACCACTCTCTCTTTTACCCCATGGCTGCGACCATGAACCATGGCTACAACGATGGGTGCAGAATTTACTGCATTTCCATGGCTTCAACCTTTGATCCTCACCTTCTTTTCACAAATCTTCCCTCTAAACATGATCTACACCCATGATTACTACTACACTCGTTCAAGCAACCCAGAAACCACAAAGATTTCAACATGCATGCATCAAACTTCATGATCACCCATTTTTACCCAACTCATTCAAGAACACCACAATCCCAAACAACATGCAACCTACCTAACTCAAATACTCAACCTCAAATCACATCCTAGATGATGATCCAACTACATGCAACCCAAAATATGACAATGATTTGAGTGCTAGCTTCCCTTACCTCGTATTGGATTGAAAATCCGAGCTCCAAGCCCATAGGAATGAAGAAGAAGTAGAGAATGAAAATGCTTCGAGAGGAAGACTCCAACAATAACCTTGCTACTTTCCTTGCTTCTCACCAACTCAACCTTCCAAATCAATCACCAACACTAATGATTTAGTCAAGAAAGGGAATGAGAAAGAAAGGAAAATGAGAGGGGGTAGAAAGGCTTACGAGTCTCACATTTATCTTATTTTTTATATTTATTTTGATATTTTATCTATTAAAATCTTCATTTTATTCTTTTATTTTTTTTTATATTTGAGTCAATTTGATCCTTTTAAAATAATAATTATTTTCAATTTTGCAAAATGATTTTGAATCAATTTTGACTGATTCAAAATGTGACACTTATCGTCTATATGAAAACTATAAATAACAATTGACTTTTAAATCTAAAAGGACTATAAATATAGTGAAAATTGTATGAAAAATATATTTTATGAACAACTAAAAAATAATATAAAATTAAATTTTTTGATTTTTTTTATTTTCACCACGTTTACAATACATTTGGTTTGAGCTTCAATTGTATCCAATAGTTTTCATATAAGTAAATCTTTTGAGATAAGTTTCAAGTCTTAAGTAAAAAAAATCCAAATGGATTAAATTGACTTAAATTTAGGAGTTAAAGGACCAAAATGGACATTTTAAAAGATAAATGATTAAAATAAATCTATATAATAAGACAAAGGATAAAAATATAATTTAGTCTTAATTTTTTTAGAGCTTCTATCTTTATGTCATGTCCCGAAATATTATGTTCCTTAAGTGAGGATAAGTCATTAAATAACGTCAAAATTTAACGATTAACAAAACATTAAAATAACGGTAAGATTAAAATTTTATATTTTTAAAAATAGAGAGACAAAAAGTGTAATTTAAACTAACCAAAATTGTTAGATTTTTAACAAAATATTGGTAGAGAACTAAAATTAACAATTAGAATACTTAATTCACTTAATTATAATTTT